TAAAATAAATTGAGGGGGCCTGTGCTTAATAGGCACTAGCGTGCATCTTTTATTTAGATGGGCTGCACTGATCTATCTTTGTGGTAGGTTCCTGTCAGCATGTTTGCGTAATGTGGACCACCATGTAGTTTACAGTCATACTCAGCGTTAGGTGCTCTTAATCAAGTTCATAGTTAGTTTCCCTTGCTAACTACAAGCTGCTTTTGGCAGCTGTTTAACGATGGATGGTGTTATTTAATGAGATTTCCTTATATGCGAACGTAAGACGAGAAGCTTTTCCGCCCATGCCAACTGGGGATAAACCTTGTCTTGTATTTGAGTAAATATGGTAAAAGGCTAAAGGATTTTATAAAGAAAGATGGAATGAGTTGTGTGTGTGTAAATTTGCTAAATTACCACAGGGAAGACTATGACAACAGGTTTCAAATACCCAGAATCTGTGCACACTGTATGGAAGAGGAATTAGTAAAATACAGGTATAGGAAGAATTTAAGGGATGAATTAAGGGGGAAATCCATAAGATGAATTTTAGCAGGAAAAACTTCTGAACAGTAATATTTATTAGGTTGTAGAAAAGTCCCCCAAAGTGACTGAAGCACCATCATATGCAGTATTTAATGGCATTGAATTAAAGATATTCTTGAATTGAAGACAACCCCCCAGTAATTAGATTTGATGCATGGAAAATATATACATTTGTTCTAATTTTCCATGGATAGAATCTAACTATTGGAGGGTAATATTAAATTTTGTTCTTCTACCAGCTACTATTGCAGCAGGGGGACAGGCAGGAGGAAGGGAGGTAGTTAGGGGGCAGACAGTGGGGGAGGCAGGTCGGAGGAGGTAGGTAGCAGGCTTTCACTGCCCCTTTTCCCCTCCACACCTTCGGCCCTGCTGCCTCTCTACCCCCACTACTCCCCCCCCCGGTGCTTCCCTCCATGCCCCTGCAGCTTCTGTTCCTGGGTTGGGGCTGGAGCCACAGCAGCTGCCAGTCCCCTCCTGCTAACCTCATACTCGATTCCAAAATGAGGGGCTTCCTCCTCCATCCCCATGTTAAATGGGGAAGAAAACCTCATCTTAGAATTTGAGTAAATATGGTATAAGGGACTTTGCATTGACACACAGATCCAACCCCCTGCAGAACAGGCCCTTCTCAGCACTGAGAAAATGTGCATATTTCTGTAATATGGCTAGGTGCTCTACAGTGCACATATTAATTGAATAAATGACTTGTAGGGTATACACGGTCTTATGCAGGCAATGAAACTGCAATATTTTTCTTTCTTTTCAGGGACACAGATGGAAGAATGCTCTTAGATATTTTTGATGAAAACCTCCACCCCCTTTCGGTAAACTCTCTTTCATGAAACCGGGTCTGCTTCCTTTCCCTGGTCCTGTGTATTTGACTCAGTCACCTGTTTCAAAATGTTTCCTCCTCAGAAATCCGAAGTGCCACCAGATTATGACAAACACGACCCAGAGCAGAAACAGATTTACCGCTTTGTTCGGACGTTGTTCAGTGCTGCTCAACTGACCGCTGAATGTGCCATTGTCACCCTGGTGAGTGTCTGCGAAACGACATCAACCATTCAACGGATCCACTCGTTTCCTGAGCTTGTTCCTGTG